AGTGCAGTCCAATATCAGAAGGTGCATTCAGGCCTGATGATGGTGCTGAGGATGCTGCTGGTCCAGCTGATCCCAAAACAGCTGCTGACCCACTGCTGATTGCTGATGCAATGCTGGAATTGGTGCTGACATCTAACAAAGATATTATAAACTCGGTTAACCCCTTGCTGGTGATGCTGGCATTTTCTCGCAGGAATTACTCACTAGACATCAAAAGAAAAGTTTCACTGGAAAATTTAGCCTAAGTTGTGAACTATCCATGTATATTTTTCCAACAGTTCAAAGTGGCAAAAATAAAGATTCCTCAAGGCTGAGTTATTAACAACCTCCAGCCATGGGATTAAATTATTTGGGGGGGGGGGGCTGCTGGAATTTGCTAATGTTCCTCCTCTGGCTCATCCTAATATTTCCTGGCATATGCCACTATGACTAGGTGCCATTTTGATGACCTGTGGTCAAACCAGAATGTGGTTGTCTGCTGAAAACACCTGGCACCTCCAAGCAATCAGGAAGAACCCAATGCCCATGAAGGGTTGAAAGTAGAGTTCATTGTACATTTAAAAAAAGGAAGTATAGCTATAAGAGCTTGTGGATTATGCATGTATAATTTTTAAAATGTCATGAATGCCGCAGTGCAAGGCATATTTTAGCTTCAGTAGGTCATAATGATGAGCTGCTATGAATTATGTTTTCCACCTATCCTGTTAAAATGCTCCATTCCATGTAATTTTAGTCTAATATTTTCTCTTGAATTATCATTCAACATGTTTATTTTATTCTACCAGCACAGGGGTGAAGATCTTTTGGTCCAATTTCATCCCAGCCAATCAAAGTTCTCTTTACTGGTGCAACAGAGGCAGGATCCCCAGATGAGGGTGCTTGATGGTATTTAAGAAATGGTATAACTGATTGAGTGAAGTAATTAAATATGGTAATCTGGTAAGGATGGAAACAGTTTAAACAAGATAGAAATTTTTATTCAAAAATAACGATTTTTTTCATACATAGCTTCATTCTTTCAAGATTTAAAATATGTTGAACTGCTTTAGCATATCAGTTAATTTTCATTCAAAAACTTCAAAAATGATCAATGAATGCAATAAAATTTATCAAACCTTTTTTTCACCTCAGCATGGTTGGTATTTTGCAAAGCCCCATCAGCAGCCTAGCTCTCACCATAAGGGAAACTATTAAAAAGGGGGCTCTAGCTTTGATCATTATCTTAAGGAACTATTTATACAAACATATCTTCAATGAATGCAATGGCTGTGCATTACCATTCAAACTTTTTTTTCAACTCAAAAAATTAAAAAAATGGAATGGCCGACAGGAACTGCTCAATTTTCTGAGGAGCTGACATTTTATCAAGCGTATTCATCCATTTCATCCATTTCTCAATTGTGTTTCATTCAAAACTAAAAGCTTTTTCTCATATGGTTAAATATTTATGTTCAGGCAAAGCTAGTGATATGCAGCGCGTTATTAAAATATGCAAAGCATTTTCTTCCCATTTGTGAGATGTTCAAATTTGTCTTTGGTCTTCTACACTTGAAACCTTGGTTATATACTGTAATTTGAAAATGGTCACTAAATGCTTGAGGAAATTCCAATGGAATCAGATACTGTAATGCAGCAGAAGTGGTGAATGAAACATTATATTTCTGGCAGAATGTAGACTCAATATTTGACAAAAGTGTGTGTTGATCTTTTCCTTCAGTGATAGTTTTGTGTCACCTCAAACCTCCAATGAATCACAGAATATTCATGATTACATGTGTTTATGAGATTACTGTTGGACATTGTACAGAATGTGGCCTGGGAGTGCTGTGACTAATGAAGTAACATTTTGTTACAACAAAGCTGATAAGAAAGTTCAATGAAAAAAAGAATTGTTGTAAGAAGATTTGAATAAAATTTTCACTTTTGGGTTGGGATTTTGAGAAAAATGTGTTTGTTGTAACCAAGAAATTCTTGCCATCAGATTTGTTTTAACAATAAGATCCTCTTGCAGCAGAAAAACGTTTGTGTTCCACATCAAAGAACTCACAACTACTGAATTGAGCACAGTACAAGATTACCAATGGACCTTCACCAAATAACTAATCAATACAAATTTCTGCCTCAACCTGCTGCTGAAATTGTAGTTTTGTGATGTGAGCTTTGCAAAAATACTGTTTTGGACAGAGAGTCATCCAAGGGTACAAAAGCAATCATCAATCCTTTGATCACATGGTAATCAGCACCCATGTATAAAAACCTTTATTTCTCATTGAGAGGATCAGGGGAGAACAAGTGGAAAGGGTCATTAAATTTTAGGATCAACAATTACAATCATGTGATCTGACCAACCAATCNAATTATAGTAGATTAAAAAATTAATCTAAAAAACCACGTTTTCAAAAATCAAAAAATAACCTTAAACATGGTGCGCATGGAGATTGTTGAGAAGAAGTGAAATACAAATGAAATAGATGCGCACCACGTTTAAGGTTATTTTTTGATTTTTGAAAACGTGGTTTTTTAGATTAATTTTTTAATCTACTATAATTTTCGATTTATTTCACCCCCTCCCCTGTCCTTCTTTGACCCGCCTTCTATATACTGTATTAGAGACTGTCCCATGTTGATTGCTTATTCAAGCTTTTCTGAAACCTGGTCTTCATTACAGACATGCCTCAATTGCAGACCTGAGATTGACATAGGGAAAATACGGTATCTATATAGTCTTATTTGCAATATTTCGAGTACTTGAATTAATTCATTCAAAATGAACAAAACCCCCCATATGATAGCCGTACCCCCAGAACCTGATGCTGAAGAACCCATGATCCCAGAAGATGAGGGTCTTCTGTCACTCAGAAAAGCACCTGCTGATGATGAGCCAGACAGGTTCCTTGGCGGCAACTTGGGACTGATCTTGCCACTCAGGCCAACGGGGGATCCTCCAGCAGACATGAGACCCCCTGCAGAGGATCCCAAGGATGCTGAGGATGAACTGGGTCCCTGAGCAGCAGAAATCCCAGGTAAACCCCCTGAAGGAATGATGTTTCCAGAATGGGATCCACTTGCTGATGGAGATGAAACCATGGCTGCTGATGGGGGTAATGTAGTCATGTCTGGGGGATGTGAGACCAGCCCTCCAGCTGCTACATTTGAGCCTCCACCAGGTGCTGCTATTTGAAAAAATATTAGGAAAAAATGAATAGAATATAAATTTGTAATTCTCCTCATGGATGATAGAATTCATTTTTCTCACATGTCAAACAAAAGGATCACTTATGATATAATTGGATTGGTGCACAAATGTTTGAGTGTGCCTACAATGCATTTTGGTACAGTTCAATCTCTCTAAGTTGAATTTCTAGGGACCAGGAAAAAATTTGACTTAGAGAAGTTTCAACTTAAATAGGTTTTCATTTTTTGACGTGTCCAGTTGAGGAAACAAACACTTTTTGTTGTGAGAAGTGAAAAAATGTGGGAAATCATAAATGAGGATATTCTGGGGTACACCTTGCTGAACTTGGAGGCAGGGGTTCATTTGCTATACACAGTATTTGTCTTTCAATTCCTTTCAAGATGCATCGGATTATTTGTTTTAATCATTATATATTTTGTATTTCAAGAAAATAATGACCAGAAGGCCAAAGGAAATTCAACTTACAGAGGTTTTATAAATAAAGACTTCAAGTTAGGGATTTTGTATGCATGATACTAAGGGAATTCAGACAGGGACTTGAAAAATATTCAACTTTGGGAGGAATTTGACTTAGGGAGAAATTTGACTTAAGGAGGGATTCGACTTAAAATTGAACATCATCAAGTTCAATTTCAAGGGACTATATAGCAAACATTTTCAACTTATTAAAGAGTTCAAGAAAAAAACACATTTGACTTATAAAGAGGTATTCAACTTGAAGAGGTTTGCTTTATCAAGTTCAGCTTTACTACTCTATTGTATTCCCTCATCTACGCACTTCCTTTTCTATTCTGGATGACAATTGAGTGCTTGTGTTGGGGACTGAGGGCACACACTTGCTATTGAATTAATAAACCAGAACCCACTTCTGGTAAACTGGTGCTGGGCTTGTGGAGCCTCACAGCACCAGAGAACTTGCCCCCAAACCTTCAAAACTTGCATGACCATGCTGCACATTGTCTTCAATTTAATAAATGGCCAATCAGAAAGCAGCAAAGTATCACAACCTTCATCAACTGCAAGTTTGACAAAAGCCTCCCTCAAGAATGCATAAAGAACGTATAAGAACCAGGAATCAATGCAACATTCTCATTCCAGGATCTCATTTCTATTCTTTGCTTTCACTGCAAAATATCCAACCAATTCTCTGAGAAATTGTATGCCTTATTTATCTGGAAGAAGGTGCTGAGTTATTGATCATTCCTTTGGGATATTAATAAATATTAAATTTTGTGGAGCCTCTATAAAAAAGGCTAAAATTGAAGCCAGTCCCAGGCAGATAGTGGTGTTTTACCCTTGAAATCTCTTTGTTTGGGGAAATCCCTATGAGAGCATGCAAGCAAGTGCATTATTGATGACTTGCAAACACTGTTCCTCAATTGCTCTCATGGAATTTTTGAAAATTTCAGCATAAACATATTAGCATATGAATGCACGAAGTCTTCATCCATTCCTTGCACTTAATTCACTGAATGCAATTGATGCAGGAAAAGTCAAATATTTCCGATTTTTTTGCTACCCTTCACGCAAATTTCAAGAATAACCGCATCTGCGAAATTTATCTTAGCATCATATTTAGACGGTCAAGCAAAAAATGAAATAATGCAGGATTTCCCTTTTCGAAAAAGAGCGTGGGAGGAATTCATGTAAAAAGTATTTGTATGTCTCGAAATTCGTCCTAATTTTGTATTTCGGAACCAATTGACTTTCTCACGTCCTTGTTCAAATACAGTATACATTTACTTTTAAATGAAATTATCCCAAGGGTTACACCATGAAGAGGTTTGCTTTATCAAGTTCAGCTTTACTACTCTATTGTATTCCCTCATCTACGCACTTCCTTTTCTATTCTGGATGACAATTGAGTGCTTGTGTTGGGGACTGAGGGCACACACTTGCTATTAAATTAATAAACCAGAACCCACTTCTGGTAAACTGGTGCTGGGCTTGTGGAGCCTCACAGCACCAGAGGACTTGCCCCCAAACCTTCAAAACATGCATGACCATGCTGCACATTGTCTTCAATTTAATAAATGGCCAATCAGAAAGCAGCAAAGTATCACAACCTTCATCAACTACAAGCTTGACAAAAGCCTCCCTCAAGAATGCATAAAGAACATATAAGAACCAGGAATCAATGCAACATTCTCATTCCAGGATCTCATTTCTATTCTTTGCTTTCACAGCAAAATATCCAACCAATTCTCTGAGAAATTGTATGCCTTATTTATCTGGAAGAAGGTGCTGAGTTATTGATCATTCCTTTGGGATATTAATAAATATTAAATTTTGTGGAGCCTCTATAAAAAAGGCTAAAATTGAAGCCAGTCCCAGGCAGATAGTGGTGTTTTACCCTTGAAATCTCTTTGTTCGGGGAAATCCCTATAAGAGCATGCAAGCAAGTGCATTATTGATGACTTGCAAAAACTGTTCTTCAATTGCTCTCATGGAATTTTTGAAAATTTCAGCATAAACATATTAGCATATGAATGCACGAACTCTTCATCCATTCCTTGCACTTAATTCACTGAATGCAATTGATGCAGGAAAAGTCAAATATTTCCGATTTTTTTGCTACCCTTCACGCAAATTTCAAGAATAACTGCATCTGCGAAATTTATCTTAGCATCATATATTTAGACGGTCAAACAAAAAATGAAATAAATCAGGATTTCCCTTTTCAAAAAAGAGCGTGGGAGGAATTCATGCAAAAAGTATTTGTATGTCTCGAAATTCGTCCTAATTTTGTATTTCGGAACCAATTGACTTTCTCACGTCCTTGTTCAAATACAGTATACATTTACTTTTAAATGAAATTATCCCAAGGGTTACACCATGAATTTGATTTTAGTCCGAAAATGGGTCCACGATAAAAATATGTCCTGCGTTTCCGATATAAAATTTCAAATCGTCGAAAACTAAGTTCAAATATATATATATTGAAAAATTTTTAGAAGCCATTCTAAAGGACAAAATTGAATATTCATTGGACTGATAGCCCACATTAAGTTGAGAATTCAACCTTTTAACCGTGTTGAGAAATTCAAAACGCTTTCAAAATTTCGAAAAAACGCTGAAATATTTAGGAGAATTTTGTAATAATTTGAGAAAAAAAGCGTTTCATCTTTTGTAAACAAAGTTTAGCAATTATTATTACCAAAGTATATTCCATTCTTGGATCGACTCGGAATTGTGTCTGATTTTAATCACAGTATCGCGAGAAATCCACAAATTTTATGAGATTTTTTGTGGTTCTTCTGAATGAAGCTCATCAGCTGGTATTACCATCCCCTTTTGGATCTATTCGAAATTCTGACTGGTTTCAATTAAGCTAACGCAACAAATTCTAGATAAAATCCCATTTTCTTCTGTTTTATCTCAGCTATCGCTATACGAAAGTCCATTTCTTTTTTGATCAACTCGAATCATTATCTTATCTTAAATACGCTATCGAAAGAAATTCACAAACTTAATCAAAACTAACGATGAAATGATTCCACTCGGTCAAAATAAATGACAGGAAAAATGATGCAGGAATCCACGTTAGAATTTACCAAAAATTACTCAGTCCTGATCAAAATCGATGAGATGAAAGAAAAAATAATAATCATACGACAACTTGATCAAATCACAGCAGGGAAATAATTTTTGCGACTATACAAGCAGGGCAGAGACTTTCGAAGTCTGCTTGAATCTTTCGCTAAATTGAAAAAAAAAAATTCGTATTTTTCCAATTGTAAAAAAAAATAATTCGTATTTTTCCAATTGTAAAAAAAAATAATTCGTATTTTTCCAATTGTAAAAAATGAATGTATATACATGTATATATATCTTTTGGAACTTGGTTTTCGACGATATCAATTTTCATCCAGAAAACTCAGGACTTATTTTTCTCGTGGACCTTTTCTTTAAACTAAAATGAAATTGATGTAGTACCTGTTGGGATAATTTCATTTAAAAGTTGAGGTATACTGCATTTGCATCAGGACGTGAGGAGTCAATTGGTTCCGAAATATAAAATTAGGAAGAATTTCGAGACATTCCAATCGAGAAAAATATATTTGAAAAAAAAAATTTATAAATTTTTTTTCTTCCGAAATTAGGAAGAATTTCGAGACATCCAAATCGAAAAAAATGTATATATAATAATTTTATTTTTTGCTTCCTCACCCGTGACTTCTTCACTCGAGCCACTCGACGCCAAGAGCAAAACCATCAGACACAACTCCAATAACTTGCCCATTTTTTCACTTCAATCCCCGACGCCAAAGACCGACTCTGCATATAACAGACGAGTGGGGGAAAACTCAGCTGATATTATATATACCGACCTTTCCCACGCTTTTCACACGAGACCAAAAAACAAAATATTATACGAACGAAACAATCGAATAAAGAAACAACACGTGCATTTATAAATCCATACACTGAACAGAAAAAAAAATGTATAAGGAAGGGGAGAGGGAATTTTTTTTTTTTGCACAATTCCCATCAGCAGAAAGCAGAGACGCCGGAATCCTGAATTTCCCTGCTGCTGCTGATGGCGTGAGGGTGTGTCTCACATTATCCTGCTGCTGTTTGAGCAGCGATAATATATATAGGCAAGAAAATCGACACGCGAAACCAAGTCAGTCTCTTTTTTTTTTTTTGCTTCTGAGACGTTTGTTTTTTTTTGTTAAATCACTGATGAATAACGATAATACTGGTGCTGCTGCTGCTGATGGTGGTGAGTATATTTTCATGCCTGCGCTGATCGACTCGGCAGCGGGGTTTCTTGCTATTGCGCAAATATTTGACGCGCGGCGCTGACGTGGGAAATCGCACGCATGAAGCATGTCCGATCGAGGGACTGGCCCAAAAAAAAATAGCATTTTATTTTTATTTAGTCCTTTTTTTCTGGAATTCATCAAAAGGCATGATCTTACTCACGAATCTCTATATATATATATACACGATTTTTCGTCTGATTGATGTCTGTGAGTGCTGCTGATTGAGAAGGAAAAGAAAAAAACTTTGATACGCATTGGAAAAATATATAAATCTGCTCTGAAATTGGTATTTTTATTTCGTTTGCTTGAATTTATGGAATGGCATGATCTTGAACTCACGAATGTGTCTGTATAAACTACATTTCTTCTGATTGATGTCATTGATGTATTCTGTGTTGCTGATTGAGAGAAAAGTAATTGAGACGCTTGGAGAAGGAAAAATTCTGGAACATTTTCATTTTCTTGATTTTTTATTTTTGCATTTTTATCAAATGGCATGATTTTACTCGATATTGGGTGGATATTACATGATGTTTTTTCTGATTCATGTCCATGAATGATCTTGAGGAATAAAACCTTTGAGATGCTTTTGAGAACAAAATCTGCTGCGGAAATTTTATTTTATTTCTATTTTGAATTCACCAAATGGCATGATCTCGCTCATTATACTTCACTGATGTAGAATTCCATTAAAGTTAATATTGTTAAACAATTTTTCATGACAATGAATGTTTTTCTTGGTCCCAGCAGTTTCTTCATATATAAGCACTATTTTAAAAACATCTTGTCTCAACAAATTCATTTTGGCTGCAATCTCACTACAGTATATGAAAAATGTTGGCTCAATTCTGCGCATAAGCCATTAATGAATTATTTAATAAATGGCAAAAAAGATAAAACATTGAAAAGTTGCAGCATTAAGTTCATCAGAGAAGCAAAAATCTATGTAATATGAAAACAATTTTGTGTTAAAAGATATGTTGAAAAAAATGTCGAACATTTTCCCAAAATTTTTCAAAATGAATTATATTTGAAAGAACAGACAAGCATGTATGAAGCATATTTAGAAGGAAGTACAAGTGCAGCATTTCTACCATCCGTAAATTTTTTCATTTTCATTTCCAAAAATATGACACACTAGTAGACATTTGGGTTTGAAATGGAAGGAAATTATATTTTCTTCAAAATTTGTGACCCGTTTCTTCAGAAATACTCAATAATTATGTTTAGTCTTGAATTACTGTATTTACTTGAGTACCACGCACCCTTGAGTAAGGCGCGCACAGGGGTTTTTCAGTTGGAAATTTGGCTAAAATCTTATACCTGAGTAAGACGCGCACCGCAATTTTTAGAGAATCTAAAACCACAAAATTTTGAAAATAAATTCAAAATATTTGACTGCAGACATGATGCGCACAGGGGTTTTTCAGTTGGAAATTTGGCTAAAATCTTATACCTGAGTAAGACGCGCACCCCAATTTTTAGTGAATCTAAAACCACAAAATTTTGAAAATAAATTCAAAATATTTGACTGCAGACATGAATTGAACAAAACTTGTATCAATTTTCAACTTTTTAAGTAAAAAAATGTTCTTGTTACATTTGTTCAAAATTTCTCCATTAAAATGTAGTATAATGCCTACATAACTTCCTAAAACTTCTTGCAAAATTTGTACCTGCTTATGACGCGCACCCCTCTTTTTCTTCTGAAATTTGAGAAAAAAGGTGCATGTGGTACTTGAGTAAATATGGAACCTATACTGTGGGAGTACTGTTCAAAATTTAATATCCCTTTGCACAATATTGCAGTCTGAAATATGCTAACCATGAATCTTGATACAATGAATTTTTAAGTACTGTATAACAAACTTTCCATCAGGTCTCTGCTGGGAGTTTGTTGCAATGCGATTTTACTGCACAGCATTGTGTCCACACAATATGTATTCTGACTTAAGTCAATGTTGATGGTTGATCAAAAGGAAAACTTTGAGTGCATTATTGGATTGCAAAACCTACCATAAAATTTTTTGTATGCATTGAATGGCAAGATCTGAACCATTATTGCATGTTATAAGCAATGTTCTTCTTATTTCTTTTTTCTTTGCTGCCAATTGAAAATGAATACAATGGAATATGAAGATAATATATGCCACTTCAATGAGTAAAACAGGCAACCTTGCAATTCAACCCTAATCCATTGTCAGACTAGGGGTCAAATTGTGAAGTGGTCAAATTGCAAGACACTTTGTAAACTTGAGAAATAATAGTACAAGAATGCACAAAAAAAGCCAAAGCAGGTCAAATTCTGGGGCAGAGGTCAAATTGCAAGTCAAGCGGGATGGTCAAATTGTGGGATGTCAAATTGCACTGTACATCCTGTATTATATTTTCTTTGGATGCAGTTAACAGCATTTGAGCAGATAACAAATTGCCTTCTCAAGTGGACATGTTTGAATCCCATTTAAATGATCCCAGTGTTCTTATATATTGCCCTTCTTTTATTTGAAGGAAAACCTCATCATGGATTCATTGTCTCAAAGCATGAATGGTGATAAAGAAATGTTGATGCTTTCTATATCAATCTTTGATCCCTCTGTTATTAATAATCTCATTTTCCTACAGGGGCGAAAGTCTCACATAGCTGTGGGAATCGAAACGTGGGAATTAAACTTCGCCGGGGCTTCTTTATTTGGTGTGAGGACTTTTCCTTCCATTCCTCACAATTTCCAAAGGGAAACAAATCAATTATAAATGCAGAAACCAAGATCGCATATCCTTCAGTCAATCATCTGAATATTCTCTACTAATCCGGATACATTTTTTTAGCAACAGGAACTGATCACCATTATTCTGAAAGATCATTTTCAGCGTCCACAATTGGTAACAATTATATTTCACCTGTTAAACAATTAATCATGATCAAGCATAAAAATAAATTTCACCAGAAAGACCTTATTTAGGGTTATACATTTTCAAAAATAAAAAAATTTCGTGCGTATGACTGAAAAGCCTCGTATCGATCCATTTTTGCCTCATTTCCGGCGATAAGCAAGAAAACTATACATAACATATTATTTCTTTGATCAGCACGGGAAGTCGACGGAAGGTTATTCGATTATTTATGCGGTTGATGAATTTTCCGATTTGATTTGCGTCGATTCCCATACCGATTGATTGAATGGTGGATTTGGTTATTTTTAGAATATTCCGTGATTCATTTCTTCACAAGCACCTGATGGCATTGAATGCCATGATTCAGAAATACAATATTTGAATAAAATTCTCGGAAATTATTTTCCTTCCTGATGAAGATGCTCTTTCTACTATTCGGAAAAAATTCGAATTTTAATGCAAATATTTCTCTGTGTAAAATTAAAATGCAATAGCAAACATTTTATACAGCAGTGTATAGAGAGAAAAACAGACCAAGAGAGAAAATTTCAGACTATCAAGACCATATTTTCTCCAAATTAGTTCAATACTCTCTGAAACGCCAGCCTTTATTTTTTTCGGCCAAATTATTTTTCAGCATCTAAAATCACTCCAATTTTTCTGTTCCCTTTTTGTTTTTGGACTTCAGTTGAATGTTTTTGAAAAATAATGCAGATTAATTTCTATAATTTCATCAACAAACAATTCAGTCATGCAGTAATGCACGTAAAAGTTGAACTATATCATTAAATATGCAGCACCAAGTTTGTTGAGGAAAAAAGACATTTATTGGAAGTCTGGGATGCCTTTAACTTGATGATAGACAATTAGAACGGTTTCAACCATCCAAAAAATGTATGCATTTTGTAATGTAAAATTTTTTCACATATATTTTGTTTCCAATGTCAGGGAATGAATGGGTGCACGCATACATGTCAGATGTCTAGTTGTATTTCATGGATTGTATTTTCTTTTATTTTTGTTATCAATTTGTGCTCTGTTTCCTGCTCTGAAGTGATTAAATGTCATTGAGCGGATTCGGGTTGGGTGGGAAGGGGGTTTGGTTGTGGAAATCTTGATTGAACCTTTTGAACGCTGAAAAGTGACAAATACATTTTTCTGTTCATTCATTCATTCATGTAATGTGCAGTACTGTATAACATTTCTTGTGCCTTAATGTGGCCCTTGGTCACTTCTGAATTCAGCACCACTGTTGTACTGTAGAGTATAGTTTGAGTATTATTGCTCATGTCAGTGTAGAACATGTTCTATTTTGGGACTTGACAAAGTTGAGGTCACTTCCACGTCAACAAAAATCAATGAAATCATTCTTTGTGTTCCCAATGATTTAAAAAAATTCACTTCTTCCATCATCATTAGAACTACGCTATACTGCGCGTTCCCAAGAAACCACTGCAAATAACCACATGTTTTCGCCTCGTTTCAACACAACTCCTCAGAAAGAAAAAAAATGCATCAGTATAAGAAAAGAATCTGAGCTTTCTCATTCCAAGGCTTTTGCGCAAACAACTGATGGGCAATCGTTGGAATGGAAACCACTTCAGGAGCTGAGAAACGCATATATATATGTAAGCAA